ATTTGTAAAAAGAAAAAGAGAGGAGAGAGAGAGAGATTGTCATCCTTTCAATATTTCATTCATGAAGTGGATTCTTCTTCTTTTTCAAAGGCTGCTGGAATTGGGGATGTCTAGTTTAATGAAGAGAAGGACAAGGGGTGACAGGATAGCCGTGTTCCAATATCTCAGGGGCTGCCCCAAAGAAGAGGGAGTCAAGCTATTTTCCAAAGCGCCTGAAGGCAGGACAAGAAACAACGGATGGAAACTAATCAAGGAGAGAAGCAACCTGGAACTAAGGAGAAACTTCCTGACAGTGAGAACAATTAGCCAGTGGAACAACCTGCCTCCAGAAGCGGTGAATGCTCCAACACTGGAAGTTTTTAAGAAGAGACTGGACAGCCATTTGTCCATAATGGTATAGGGTTTCCAGCCTGAGCAGGGGGTTGGACTAGATGACCTCCAAAGTCCTTTCCAACTTTATTATTATTATTTATTATTATTATTATGGATCATCGCACAGTCAGCCAGATGTTCAGACTGGATTTGGCATTTTGTCTACCTATCGAGTCCTTACCCAGGACCTGGGATAGGCAGATGTGGATGTTTGATGGTATTACAGATATCGTCGCAGGATGATGATGATGATGATGATTATTATTATTATTATTAAGCCTGCCGAGGAGAGTTCAGGGCCTCCAATAAAACAAAGCCGTTTTGACAGACAGTTGACAGAGCCCCGAAGACCCCTTTCCTCTGCAGCCATCAAGCCAGGGTTACTTGCCCCATGGGGAGAGGCAAATGACAAACACATTAGGATGGGCATTAACGCCTGCCCAAAAAAGTGTGCCTGAATGGGTGTGAGCAGGAGGCTGCTTCCACCCAATGTGCTGGCAACTCCTCAACTTACAACCACAACAGTCGCAAGCAGCGACGGTCGTAAAATGGGTAGATCCCATGAGCAAGCCGATTTTATGAACTTTTTTTTTTTTGCAGAGGTCATTAAGCAAGAAATTATGCGGTTGTTAAGCGAAATGATGGTTTTCTACGGGCACAATTTTGCCCACAAACCCGGAAGTTCCAGTTTTGGGGAAAACGGTCGTAAAACGTGGTCGCAGAGATGGACGCTGTAAATGCCAAGTGTCCAAATTTCGGCCATGTGACTGCAGGGGAGGGCAACCGTTGAAACTTTGAATCTTGTTAAGTAGCCCCAAGGTAGGTCCGGCGTAATTTTGAATGGCTATGAAGGGACCAGTCACAAGTCAAGGACTTATCTGTACCCTTAACTTTCTTCTCATTCTCCATTTCGTTTCCAATTCAGAACTCTGACCCGGGTTAGAAAAACCAGCCTTGCCGTTTGCAAGCCATCCAAAAAATCTAAAGCCAAACCCACACTATCGTCTAATAATAATAATAATAATAATAATAATAATAATAATAATAATAATAATAATAATGGAGTTTGGCTTGGACAAATGTGCCACACTTACTATCAAACAAGGAAAAATAGTAAAAACTGAAGGAATCAAGATGCCCCACGAAAATAACATTAAGAGTCTGGATGAGGAAGATTACTACAAATACTTGGGTATCCTTCCAGCTGACAACATCAAGCACACTGAAGTCAAGAAAAAGATTAGAGGTGAATACATCAAGAGAGTGAAGAAGATCTTAAAATCCAAACTCAATGGAGGAAATACCATAAAGGCAATCAACACCTGGGCAATCCCAGTCATTAGGTACACAGCTGGAATAGTGGACTGGACTCAAGCAGAACTAAAAGCAATGGATAGACAGACCAGAAAAATAATGACAATGAATCATGCCCTTCATCCACGCAGTGATATTGATAGACTTTATCTACCAAGGCAAATAGGTGGGCGTGGAATGCTACAAGTACATCAGATGGGTGAAGAAGAAAAAATGGCTTTGGAAGAATATCTGAAGAACAATGATGAAGATGCACTGAAATTAGTATATCAGGAAGGCTTACTAACTACTGGAGAAACCAAACTGGCCTACAAGAAAGACCAAATGAAGAACAGAATAGAGGCATGGGAAGACAAAGCACTACGTGGCCAATACATGAAAAAAATAGCTGGGAAAGCAGATAATAATAAAACCTGGCAATGGCTAAGAGCAGAAAATTGAAGAAAGAGACCGAGGGACTAATTCTGGCTGCACAAGACCAAGCCTTAAGGACAAATGCATATAAAGTCAAAATTGAGAAAACAGCAACAGACAGTAAGTGCCGCCTATGCAAAGAAGCTGAAGAAACAGTGGACCACTTGGTAAGCTGTTGCAAGAAGATTGCACAAACTGATTACAAGCAACGGCATGACAAAGTAGCAACAATGGTGCATTGGAAGATCTGCAAAAAATATCATTTTCCTGTAAGCAAAAACTGGTGGGATCATAAAATAGAGAAAGTCATAGAAAATGATAAAATTAAACTGCTCTGGGACTTCAGAATTCAAACAGACAAGCACCTACAACATAACACCCCAGACTTAACAATTGTCGATAAGAAAGACAAAAAAGTCTGGATAGTGGACGTGGCATTGCCTGGAGACAGCAGAATAGAAGAGAAAGAACTGGAGAAGATAACAAAATACAAAGACCTACAAATAGAAATAGAAAGACTGTGGCAAAAGCAAGCAAGGGTAGTACCAATAGTCATAGGCGCCTTGGGTGCAATCCCAAAACAACTGGAGCACCACTTGAACACCATTGGCATTGACAAATTCGCTATTAGTCAATTGCAAAAGGCGGCCTTACTATGAACTGCTTCCATCCTGCGACGATACCTGTAATACCATCAAACATCCACATCTGCCTATCCCAGGTCCTGGGTAAGGACTCGATAGGTAGACAAAATGCCAAATCCAGTCTGAACATCTGGCGGACTGTGCGATGATCGATAATAATAATAATAAAGTTGGAAGGGACCTCAGAGGTCAGCTAGTTCAACCCGTTGTTCAGGCAGGTAACCCTATACCATTTCGGACAAATGGCTGTCCAGTCTCTTCTTTAAAACTTCCAGTGTTGGAGCATTCACCGCTTCTGGAGGCAGGTTGTTGGTTAATTGTTCTGACTGTCAGGAAGTTTCTCCTTGGTTCTAGGTTGCTTCTCTCCTTGGTTAGTTTCCATCCATTGCTTCTTATCCTGCCTTCAGCCACTTTGGAGAATAGCTTGACTCCCTCTTCTTTGTGGCAGCCCCTGAGATACTGGAAGATTGCTATCCTGTCACCCCTCATCCTTCTCTTCATTAAACTAGACATTCCCAATTCCAGCAACCGTTCATTATATGTTTTAGCTTCCAGTCCCCTGGTCATCTTTGTTGTTCTTCTCTGCACTCTTTCTAGAGTCCCAACATCTTTTTTACATCGTGACCAAAACTGGGTGCCGTATTCCAAGTGTGGCCTTACCAAGGTCTTGTAAAGTGGTATTAAGACTTCACGTGATCTTGATTCTATCCCTCTGTTAATGCAGCCCAGCACTGTGTTGGCTTTTTTGGCAGCTGCAGCACATGGCTGGCTCATATCTAAGTGATTGTCCACTAGGACTCCGAGATCCCTCTCACAGTTGTTACTATTGAGCAAGGTACGACCTATACTATGCCCGTGCATTTGGTTTTCTTGCCTAAATGTAGAATTGTGAGGATAGGAAAGGAACTTGGAAGTTGTCAGGTAAATCATGCGGTCATTAAGTGAATTCCCCATGGATTCTGGTGGCCAGAAGCCCGCTGGGGAAGTTGCAGATGGCATTCACACGACCCCAGGATGATGCAACCTTCATAACTACATGCCAGTTGCCGAACAGCCAAATTTTTGATCATGTGACCGTGCCGGATGCTGTCTCGGTTGTAAGCGCAAGGACCAGTCATAAGTCACTTCAATCAGCACGACTATAACTTTGAACGATTGCAAAACAAATGGTTATAAGTCAAGGAGTACCTCTCCCTTCTCAACAGCTTGAAGAGGCAGCCACAATGATTACCAACTTTGATGATGTCAACAGAGGATTGTTGTATTTATTAAAAGTTTTTTCTATCCCAGAGTTCAGTGATTCTATTGTATTCTAACATATATACATACATACACACACACACACACACGTATATGCACACACACACAGACACACACATATAAATAAATAAATATATAAATCACTGTCCATCTTGAATATATAACGGAAGGAGGAAGCTTGAGAGTTCGCAAGATTAATGCTGTATTGAATGAAACTATGGCTGAATCTGGATGTTCTGCTACGGATACCATGAAGCCCCCTCCTCCAAGAAGGTAACAAGGAAATAAATGTGTGTTATGTATGGGTATATTATATATTTGCTTTTGAGACTGTATGGCAACCGAATTGCGTTTTTAATCTGTGCCAGTGTGCTCACAGCAAAAAAAAAATGACAATAAAGGTTATCTAATCTAATCTAAATACACCCCAAAAGTGCATTTTGCCCCACCTGCCAAACTTCTTCTTGCTTATCTCCAAGACAGAAAGGAAATTCCTCCCCCCCCTTTTTGGGAAACATTGATTGCCGTTTCTCCTTCTTCTGATTTCCCCTTCTCGCTTTGCTTTGCAATGAAAAATTCTGCACAGGATTGAGGAACACGTTACCCCTTGAGTGTGCACCTTTTCAGAGGCAGCCTCGGAGTTGGGAAACCTATTTGGGGGTTCAGCCTGCAGAATCGGATCCAGAAAGGACCCCAATTATTTGCATTAAGGGCCCCAAAAATCCCCCGGCCAATTTCGTATTGTCAGATTTTGGTGCCAGCTTCTTGGCCCTTATTCCTTGGATGTCTTGTGCAAGCACCACTCTACTTACATCATCATAACAGCTTTTGTAAAAAAAAAAAAAAAAACCGCAAAAAACTCCATTGGAGATAAACATCCTTTTCCTATTCTCTTTGGTTCAGAGGCTCTCTTCCTTGCTGGGGGCTAGGAGAAACAATTGGGGGGAGGGTGCAGAGAAAGACAGGATGGGGGGGGGGGAAAGCAAAGAGACTTACGGGTCCGGGGTCTCTCTCTGTCGCCATGGCAACACGGAACAGCAACAAGGCAAGAAGAGATGGGTTTTAGTATCAAAACAGAAGAACGCCTGCAACTGTATGCAACCCCCCCCCCAACTCTACAACGGTACAAAATGTGAAAATTAAATTATCATGGAGTTGCATTTCTCCGCCTCTTTAATTGGAGGAGGAGGGGGTTCAAAGACATTTGGGAAAGAGGATGCCTCCCCAAAATTGAGGCTTTTTTTTTCTCTCATTCCTTGTCAAAGTTGCACCGCTAAAATTATCCATATTGGGGGCTGGCATTTGTCTAGGGCCGTGGTGGCGAACTTATGGCACCGGTGCCAGAGGTGGCACGCAGAGCCCTCTCTGTGGGCACGTGTGCCGTCGCCCCAGTCCTAGGCCTTCAGCTGGGTTTTATAAAACCTTTTCGCCTTAGGCCTCTGCTGCCATGTGCAAAAAAAAAAAAAAAAAAAAAGTTCAATCAATCAGTCAATTTCAACTTCTCGCGGGGGGGGGGGGAAAGATCTCGCAAAGTTGGAATGGATTGATTGAACTTTTTAGTCCCACCCAGTCTGCTGTTACCACGGCAGCCACGCCCACCCAATGGGCCACACCCACCCAGCACCCGATGATACCGATGTGGTTTTTGGGTGGCAGTTTGGGCACTCGGTCTCTAAAAGGTTTGCCATCACTGGCTAGGGCCAGCGATAAGTGGGACCGGGGTGATTAACAACGAAAAGGACTTTGAATTCTTTTCTCCTCGGCTGCTGACATAGGTAAAAGTTTGCAGCTGATCCTCTAAGACTGGGGTCCCCAACCCCAGGTCTGTGGACTGGTACTGGGCTGCAACATGCCAGCAACTGGTCCACACACACAAGCAAAGCCCCATCCGTGGGATGCAGGCAGCACACAAACCCACACACTCTCCGGTTGTGGAAAAACTTTTCTCCATGAAACCGGTTCCTGGTGCCCAAAAGGCTGGGGACCTCTGATCTAAGAAATACAGGTAGTCCTCGACTTACGACTTGGAAAATTTGTTGCTATGCGGTGCAGCCGTGAAGGGAAGCACCAGGGGACTGTATCTGAGTTTATGAGCTTTTTTGGGGGGGTGTTGAATGAAGTTATGATCTTTTTTTTTTTTGGCTGTTAAGCGTGGTTAAACGAATCACTGGTTGTTAAGTGAGACATCACGTGATCGTGATTTCCAGGCTTCCCTGTCGGCTTTCCTATGGACTTTGCTTCCTGGAAGCCGTCTGGGAAGGTCACGAATGACGCGATCCCTGGATGGTGCAACAGTCGTAAGTGGAAGGACTGATCATACGTCACTTTTTGTCAGCGCCTTTTTAATTTCAGAAGGTTTTTAAAGGATTAGTCGCAAGGCGAGGACTATCTGTAGCTAGGCTGCAAATTGTTCATTAATAAACTATCTAGCACAATGGTTCTCAACCTTTTTAATGCCACGACCCCCAACTGGTCGTAAGTTGAGGATTACTCAACCGGTCATTAAGTCGAGGATTACTCAACTGGTGCAGCACCATTTGCAGAATGGGACTTTTGGCGGGTTCAGCAGGGCAGAGACAGCCTGGACAATTCCTATTGGCTTTTGAAAGCCAATAGAATTAGACTCTATTCAAGAGAGTCTACTCTATTGGCTTCCAAAAGCCAATAGAATAAAGGGGAGTAGCACAGCTAAGGAAAAGGGGGAAAAATGGCGGACTGCGTTGTTTGGTGACCCCCGGGGAATGGTCATTCGACCCCAAATGGGGTCCCGACCCACAGGTTGAGAACCACTGATCTAGCATGAGCTAAATCAGAGGGGTCCAACCTTGGCAACTGTAAGGCTTGGGGACTGGGCTGGCAGGATAATTCTGGGAATTGAAGTCCCCAAGTCTTAAAGTTGGACACCCCGGCGCTAAATACACTGAATGAAATAAATAAAAGAGCTAGTAATAGCAAATTCATTTGGCTAACTGCTCTATATTTATACTTTTTTTTTTTTTTTTTTACTTACAGTTGACTTTTTTTCCTAACATCCCATTTCTAAATTTTGGTTGGGACCCTCAGAATTCCCACCTTATAAAAAAGCTCATTTCACTGGGAAGGGCCATCTCAATGCCAATGAACAAACGTATTTTGTAAGGTCAGTGTATCCTTTCAAAACCACTCAAAGTATTTCTCAAAGGTAAGAACCTGAAGGTATGCAGACTACAACATCCAGAATTCCCAAAACCAGTGTGCTATTTTTTTTAAGATCGAAGTGAGTTAGTTACTTGTTGGGAAAATTGTTTTAAACTAGACCAGGGGTAGGCAACCTTGGCTCTTTTATGACTCATGGGACTTCAACTCCCAGAATTGCCTACCCCTGAACTAGACATTCAATGTTTCTGCATATTGCAATGAAAACACAGCAGTTTTTCTCAAACAGGGCAACTTTAAGACTTCAACTCCCAGAATTCCCGAGGGAGCATTGGTGGACTTCAACTCCCAGAATTCTCTAGCCATTCTTTGTGGACTTCAACTCCCAGAATTCCTTAGCCAACATTTGTGGACTTCAACTCCCAGAATTCCTTAGCCAACATTTGTGGACTTCAACTCCCAGAATTCCAGGACCTGAAATCTATGAATGTTGGCTGGGGAATTCTGGAATTTGAAGTCCACAAATGCGCACTAGGGAATTCTGGAGTTGAAAGTTCACAAATGTTCATTGGGGAATTCTGGGAGTTGAAGTCCACAAACAGTGGTAGGGAATTTGGGAGTTGAAGTTCACAAATGCACATTGAGGAAATTCTTACAGTTGAAGTCCAAAAATGCTGACTGGGGAATTCTGGGAATGAATTCCACAAATGCTCACTAGGGAATTCTGGGAGCTGAAGTTCACAAATGAATGCTTGTTGAGGAATCCTGGTAGTTGAAGTCCACAAACAGTGGTAGGGAATTCTGGTTAGTTGAAGTCCACCAATACCCGTTGAAGAATTCTGGGAGTTGAAGTCCAAAAGTGCTGGCTGGGGACTTCTGGACATTGAAGTCCACACACCTTAAAGTTACCATGGTTGAGAAATCCTGCTAGACCCAGCCTCCCCTCCCCTCCCATTTAGGCAAATTGGACCAATTAGGACAGGGGTAGGCAATCCTGACTCTTTTATGACTCATGGACTTCAACTCCCAGAATTCCTGAGTTAGCTGGGAGTTGAAGTCCGTGTGTCATAAAAGAGCCAAGGTTGCCTACCCCTGACCTTCCACAGATCCCTGTCAAAGCAAAGCCGAGGGAATCTACTATGGCAGAACCAAAGGTGATCTGGAGAAACCTACCTCGGTTATCGGCGTCGAGAAGCCCTCGGTCATCCTTGGCGACCAGGTGAGCTTGCGTCCCCAGGGCTCCCGACAGCGCCAGCAGCCCAGAAGCGCTACCGAGGCTGGCCAAGCTGGTGGACTGGACGCCAGAAGGGTGGGGGGTCAATGGGATGGGGGGCGCGTGGTGGGAGAGGTGTTGAGCTTGAAGCTGGTGCTGAGGAGACAGAAAGAAACCAAAGAGCTTCAGATCAACCCTTCCCTTTTTTACTGTTTAAGGAAGCCCTAAAAGCAGACGTGCATTTTTCATGCGCTGGCGTTTAAAGGATGGCCTTTGGAATGAATGAATTAATTGTCCATCCATCCTGCCTTTTGTACTCAAGTCAACCAACGTGTCTCATAATCCTTCCTCTTCCTATTTTCCTCACAGCAACAACCCTGTGAGATGGGATGGGCGGAGAGTTAGTGACTAGAATTCACCATCGCCTGGTGATCGGGCCAGAGTCACCCAGCTGGTTTTTCTGGAGGACGACAACCTACAATCAATCTTTGTATTTATGACGTTTGCAGGTTGACAAACGGAAGGAAAACTGAAGAAAGCAAGGCTGGGTTTTTCAAAGTAACTGCTTCACTTAATAACCGAGTTGCTGATCCCACTTCTGGTCGCTAAACGAGGACCATCTGTATCTGTACCGAGCTGAATAATAACAGACTTGTACAGAATGTACACAATGCAAAAAAAAAAGAAGGGAAAAAAAATCTCACGGCACACTAGAAACAACCCCCTGGCACAACTGTGTGAGCAGCACTGTGTGAAAAACACAGCTATAAAACAAGGAAGCCGTGTTTGAGCCACAGCAAGGACCGGTTTTAATGCATTCCCTTTTATTGTTTGCATCGTTATTGCCACATTAATTTTTATTAATTAGATATTAGCTGCTAGGAGCCTTTGCAGCTGGATGGAAAGCAGAGACGGGCATGCAGAAAAAATAAGTAACAGATGTCAGCAGCCTCTTCAAAGGCAGAGTTCCCTGAGGTCTGCAGGGTGTGGTTAGAAAAAGGGGGGAAATACAATTCAACTAACGTTACCACAGATTCCCCCCCCCCAAGGTATTTACGACCAGGCTCCGAAGTTGCAATGGCCCACCCGCCTTCCGTGGTCATGTGACCACATGGCAATTAATCCACATTTACAGTTTTAGGCAATATTGTAAACCCAGAGCAAGTAATGGGATCACCATGGATTCAATTAATGTCCATGGTGATTCATTTAATGGCCTTTGCAAAAAAAAAAAAAAGGTCAAAAAATTGACTGGGTCATAGGATGGTCTGTTTTACGACTGTCATGACCCTAATGCAGAGGTCCCCAACTGGTTCTGTGGAGAGGTGTGTCAATGCTGCTAACATTGGATATTTTTGCTTTGACAACAGATGGAGATGCAACCATTTTAATAACAACAACAACAACAATAATAATAATAATGTTGGAAGGGATCTTTTTTTCTTATGTTAACTCTTAGAGTTAGATGATGTTGGGGGGAGGAATGTGCATGAGAGTTTAGCTAGACATAACAATACTGAACCTAGTGTGAGAACCAAGGTTATTGAAATAAGAGATGATAAGAACTGGCCGCTGAAGAACTGGAGGGGAAGTCTGCATTTCAAACTAATTGGGGAATGTGATTTATGACTGTTAATTGGGGGAGGGAATTGTGCTTTGATACTATGTGCTCAGGGGAAGGGAATTCAGTTTTTGACTTCGACTATGTTAGTGCCGATGCTATGCTACTCAAATAAAGATTCTTTAAGGTAAACAATGCCTCGAAGTTCTTTGAAGAGTTTCATCTGTTGGAACCACGGCAAGAGGTTTTTCTGCGGACTGGAGAGTGTGTGGTTTTGTGTGCTGCCTGCATCCCGCGGATGGGGTCTTGCTTGTTTGTGTGGACTGGTTGCTGGCATGCCGCGGACCTGGGGTTGGGGAACCCCTGGCCTAATGGACAGGCTCCATCACAATCTTGGGTCCACGACTTACAATCACAACTCAGCCCAAAATCTCTATGGCTAAGCGAGGCAGTCAAGTGAATTTTGCCCCATTTTACAAACTTTCTTGCTACAGTCCTTAAGCGAATCCCTGCATTGGTTAAGGTAGTAACGCAGTTGTTAAGCGAATCTGGCTTTCCCCCGTTGACTTTGCTTGTCAAAAGGTTGTAAATGGTGACCAGGTGACATTGCAGTTGTCATAAAAGGAAGCCGGTTGCCAAGTGTCTCAATTCTGATTATGTGACCAAGGGGAGGCTATAATGGTCGTAAGTGTGAGAAACTAGTGTAAGTCACTTTTTTCAAGTGCTGCTGTAATTTTGAATGGCCACTAAATGAAGGGTTGTTAAGTCAAGGACTATCTGTCCTGTCCTCCAGGACCTGGAGAAATTAGACAGATGTTTTTTCCTCCCTCCTGCTTGGAGCAGAGGGTCACTCATTGATTGGACTGGAAGGATAGGAGAAAAAAAAATGCAAGCAAGCATTTTCCACACAACACCTCATGAACCTGTGGAAACCATGGCCTAACTCAGGGGTAGGCAACCTTGGCTCTTTTGCGACTCGTGGACTTCAACTCCCAGAATTCCTGAGCCAGCCATGCTGAGGGAAAAGGGAGGTTTCCAAACTGAGCCATGCTGGCTCAGGAATTCTGGGAGTTGAAGTCCACCAGTCATGAAAGGGCCAAAGTTTTCCCCATGTTTAAAAAAGAGAGTGGACTCACTGTGTTCTCCAATGAGCCGAAAAGCTTACTGGGTGGGGCTCCTGCCTTGGCTGTGTCTCTGCAGGAAGCAGGAAGGGCAGGAGAGAGCTAGCTAGCCCAGCTATGCTGACTCAGGAATTCTGGGAGTTGAGTCATAAAAGTCAAGGCTGCCTAACCCTGAGCTTGTTGGCCAGCTTACCAGGTGAGCAGAAGATCAGAGAGAAGGAGGGGGGAGAGAGAGAGAGAGAGGGAGAGAAAGAGACACACACACAGAGAGAGACCCTTTTGACATCTAAAATGAAGATAACACTGCATATATTCTTTTTTACCTTTATGACTATATAATAAAGGTAAAAAAGGATATATGCAGTATTATCTTCATTTTAGATATCAAAAGGGTTTTGCGGCTCCCAGTGTTTTGTTTTTGGTGGTAAATGAGTCCAAGTGGCTCTTTAAGTGTTTTGGGTTGCCTACCCCTGCCCTATACTATTTCAGACAAGTGGCTGTCCAGTCTCTTTGTAAAAACCTCCAGTAATGAAACACCCACAATTTCTGGTGGCAAGCTGTTCCACTGGTTAATTGTCCTCTGTTAGGAAGTTTCTCCTTAATTCCAAGTTGCTTCTCTCCTTCATTAGTTTCCATCCATTGCTTCTTCTCCTGCCTTCAGGCGCTTTGGAGAATAGCTTGACTCCCTTTTCTTTGCGGCAGCCCCTGAGATACTGGAACACTGCTATCATGTCCCCCCTCGTCCTTCTCTTCATTAAACTAGACATACCCAATTCCAGCAACCGTTCCTTGCATGTTTTAGCCTCCAGTCCCCTGATCATCTTTCTTGCTCTTCTCTGTACTCTTTCTAGAGTCCCAACATCTCTTTTACATCGTGGTGACCAAAACTGGATTCAGTATTCCAACTGTGGCCTTACCAAGGCCTTGTAAAGTGGTATTAATACTTCAGTTCCGGCTGAATGAACTCAAGAAGCTTCTTAGATGAGAAGCGAAACGTTTTCAAGGGAAAAACTAAAAAAAAAAAATCTCCCGTTGCTTTTTGAAAAAGCACCTTTGCATTCCGACGATTAGTGGACCTATCTGGTGGGACTGCGTTACATGGACCGTGGATGGTTTGTTTGGGGGGGAAAAGCGGGGTGGAGGTTTACCGACACCCTATCTGTCGTGGTTTAGTAGTGCAATAAAAGACTTTATTGGTGCCTGCATCTTCCCATGTGATCTGGGTCAGAACAGTCCCTATCTAATGCCTCTACAAGCACCCCAGAAGCCTCTGATTGTTGTTGGGAGAAAAAAAAGCTGGACTAGGATGGGCCTTAATGCCATTTTTCTCCCTTGCTTTTCCCCCTGACATCAGAGGTCAAGGCAGATCTTTGAGGTGTCTTTTCAAAGCCCGAAGCAAACATCTCCAGCTGGCTGTTGTATCAAAGGCCAAAAAGCCTTTTTCTCCCAAGAAAAGCCTCACATCCTATCTTGCAATAGGTCAGCTGAGGCTAAGAGGAGCTTGCAAAGAGAACAGCCTCCTTGCTGAAGCAAATCGGAGTCGACAAGAGTCCAGTTCAGGCAGTCCTCGGCTTACGACCACAACCGAGCCCGGAATTTCTGTGGCTGCGTGAGAAATTGAGTGTTGCCCCCTTTTTACGACTTTCCTTGCCCCGACTGTTGCGTGAATCACGGCAGTTGTTAAGTCAGTCACACGGCTGTTAAGCGTGACTTTGCTTGTCAGATGGTCGCAAAAGAGGATCACCTGATCTTGGGACACAGCAACGGTCGTAAATACGAAACCGTTGCCAAGCCTCTGAATTTTGATCACGTGGCTGTGGGGATGCTGCAGAGGTCGGTAACTGTGAAAAACGGTCGCAAAAAGGGGATCGCATGACCCCCCCGGTTCGCCGCAACCGCCATAAATATGAATCAGTTGTCAAGCATTAGAATGGAAATCACAATGAGTATGGAGATGCTGTAACTGTCGTAAGTGTGAAAAACGGTCATAAGTCACTTTTTTCTCCAGTGCCGTTGTAACTTTGAAATGGTCACTAAATGAAGGGTTGTAAGTCGAGGACTACCTGTATTTGCAACTCAGGGTTGAAATGAAGGGTCCTTGGTGCTCTCTGAGCTTGGTGGTTTCCTTGCAGACGTCTACAGACCAAATTAAGTAACATCATCAGTGCTAGTAGAAAGTGGGCTTTACTTCCCAGTTTATATTCCGATGGCTCGCCCTGTCAGTGCTGACGGGAGGGGTTTTGGGGGCTCCTTGTTGGGGACATTCCCTGCTGGCTTGATTGGCAGTTCCTTGATTGGGGTATTGTTTGCTTGCTGATTGTCAGTCTAATGTTAATCTCTGCTCCCCAGGAGCCCTGATGATGTTACCAAATTGGGTCATGAAACGTCTGCAAGAAAACCACCAAGCTCAGAGAGCATCAGGGATCCCACAGTCCTCCTCCTCCTCTCCACAAACCCCATTCCTTTTAACACTA